GGAACAGAGAGAGAAAAGGGAAAGAGAGAGAGGGAGAAATAAGGATATATATATATATATATATATGTACATAGAGAGAGAGAGAGGGAGAGAAAGAGAAATAGAGAGAGAGAGAAACAAACAAGAGAAAGAGAGAGAGAGAGAGAAAGAGAGAGAGAGAGAGAGAAAGAGAGAGAGAGGGAGAGGGAGAGAGAGAGAGAGAGAGAGAGAGAAAAAAAAATGAGAAGGGAGAAAGAGAGGGAGAGGGAGAAAGAGAGAGAGAGAGAGAGATGCCCCGGGCAGGAGACGGGGGAGAGGGGCACGTAGAGAAGGGAGGGATGAGGTGGGGGGGGGCCTCCGGGAGTCCCATAGGAGGCCCGCCGTCTTGCGCACCTCGCGGCGAACGCTGCCGCGCCCGCGCCCGCCGCGCCCTGCGCGGGGCCGCGCCCGCGGCCGCGCCGACGCCCCCGCTGGAGGGGGAGGTGAAATGGGGGGGAGGGGGAGGATGAGGAGGGATAGGATGGGTGGTCGTTGTGGGAGGAGGGGGAGGATAGGAGGGATCGGATGGGGGGAGGGGGAGGATAGGAGGGATAGGATGGGGATGGGTGAGGGATGCGATGAGGAGGGATAGGATAGGGGGGAGGGGGAGGATGAGGAGGGATAGGATGGAGACGGGCTGTTGTGGTCGTAGTGCGCGGTCCTAGCGTTGTGGCCGAGGCGCCGCGCTGGCGGCGGTGGTGGTTGCGGTCGCCGTGCGCGGTGAGATGCGCCCGTCCAAAGTCGGTTCCATGCCGATGGGGCGTGAGCCACCAGACCCCTGCGTTAGGCGCGCTGGCTGGCCCAGCGGCCACATCAGGCAGCGCGGATGAGCGTGCTCGCCAGCTTCCGGACCACGCAGGCGGCGATGGACCTGTGGAGTGTGCCCAGTGTCTCCGGGCGCACAGGCCCCTGTGGCACTTGCTGCGCGAGCCCGTTTCACGCGGGCTCGCCCATGCCTCCCGAGGCTTCGAACCCGAGGGGATGGAAGCCCGACGCCATCGTACTTGTGGCGCTTGGCTTTCTCCAGGGTGCTGAGGAGGTCGGCGTCGAGCTGGGTCGCCGTTTGGGCGGGAACCCTGGTGGTCGGCCTGTGCCACTGCATGTCTCCTGCCGTGAGCGTTCGTACCAGTACCAAAGACGTCTGAACGTGTAGGCCGGTTTTGTGGTGAAGGTCCATGAGTCTGGCCATGGCGCTCGTCCTCTTGGTTTGTTGGTGTTGTAGTCGCGGCGAGGTGGGTGAGTGCAAAATGCCCTCCTCGGTTTGCTGGTCGGCGGTTAACGGCGTAAGTGACAGGCCGGAGAAATCGTTGGCGTGTTGTCGTAAGATCGTTGCCTGCTCTACTCGCGGCACGGGTTGGTCAGCTGGCATCGCGGCAAAATTCTTCGCCCAAACCTCACACTTTTCGGCGCGTGTCTGGAGGCCGGCTTGGTGCAGTGCGTTGGTGTAGGCTGCGTATGTGGTGGGCAAAGATCGTTAGGCTTTGCAAGGATGGTGAGGTCGTCGATGTAGCCGAAAAGCTCCCCTTTTCCTCCCCTTCCCTCCCCGTCCTCCCCTTCCCGATCCACTGCCACCTCCCTCTCGCTCCACCTCTCGCTCCCCCCCTTTCCTCCCTCTCCCCACCATCCCGTAAGCCTCACCCCCCCCCACCTCCCCTCGCAGGCGGAGGCGTGCGTGCGAGCGCGATCCCGGCCTTCGGGTTCGAGTTCATCATGTTGTCCATGATCGAAACCTCTGGCGCTGGGCAGCTTCACGACGACGACGACGCCGACGCCGACACCGACGCCGCCGACGATCACGCGGGAGCAGGAAGAGGGGAGGGGCGGGGGCTGCTGCGTGGAAGAACAGCAGTTGCAGTGGATGGGTGGGAAGGAGAATCCAGGTCGATGTTTGCATGCATCTCTTATGACATCAAGCCCGTCGCATCCCAGATCTTCTCCTTGCTGCTCGCGCGGAACGCTGCGGGGAAATATCATGGCACCGCCCCCGAACATGAGCGACCTGCGATCCCAGACATGGATGTGGACATTGTGAGCCTGCGCGCTGCCTCATCATGATCGATGTCGGCGTCGTCTTCGCCCTGCTCCTCCTCCTCCTCCTCCTCCTCCACCTCCTCAACATCCTCCTTGCCTCGCGCCGCGTGGCCTCTTCATATCTTCACTGTCGCCCATCGGCAAATGCTGTTTTACCGACGCAGGAAGAAAATTGTCTCCCCCTACCCGAGGAATAATGGATCAGCAGGGGACACGCCAGGGGACTCGCCTGGGGACGTGCCAATGGACGCGCCACGGAACGCGCCAAGTGACGCGCCAGGGACGTGCCAGGGGACGTGTTCGGGTGCGCGCCAGGGGACGTGCCAGGGAAATTGCCAGGGAACGTGCCGGTGGCGAGCCGACACGGAACGCGCACGAGGAAGAGAAACGCACCACAAACATAAACTCTTGGAGGCCCACCCGAACTTCTTGGATCTAGGCTGACACCCCCCTCCCTGGCACGCTCCGCGCGCCAAGCACACACGGCTCCCGAGGCGCCGGCAGGGGGCCCGAGCGCGGATCCAAGAGGTCCGCGAGGAGCTCCGACAGTCAGTGCTGATGCAGCTCTTGCTGCTTCGGAACGCAGCACGGGGCGTTCGAAGGGGGCGGCGCGCGCGGGGGCGTCTTGGGGTGCGCGCCACGGATCGCGCCAGAGCTCCGGGGGGAGGCCCTGCCGCGGGCCCCCAAGGACGGCCATCTTCGCCCGTCTGCTGCCTACACGGGGCCGCGAGCGGGTCTTGGCAGCGCCGCAAGGGGGGGGGGGGGGGGCGAGTCATGTAAGGGTAAAGCGCATGTTAGCCAGCGTGGACCCCATCGGTTGCGCCATCGGATGCCCTCGGCGGCCGAGAATAAAACCGTCTCCGATCGGTTGCGCCATAAGTGGCGGCCTTGGCGGCCGAGAATAACACCGTCGCGAAACGAGTGCGATCAGTCTGGCCAGTTCAATTAAGTTAAATTCAGTTCAGTCAGTTTACCTCGCAGGAAAACAAATTCGGGCTACGTCCGAAAGAAGCAGCACCCGCAAACAACAACAACCAACCGCACCAGCGACCAAACAATAACAACAACAAGCTACAACAACAAAAGCAACACAACATATACTCACAAGCAACACGCATCAACACCCACAAACAACAACAACAACAACAACAACAACACACAATGCACAACAACAACCACGCAATTAACAACTAAAGGTACGACATATCAACAAATACCAACAAACAGCACCATCCAAACAAAAATAACTACAAACAACACAACACCAACAAAACAAACACCAAACAACACATACTACACACAACACAATTAAACACACACCGAACAACAAACAACACCACACACACACCAACACACAACTCACACTACCAGCACATATCAACAAACAGCAAGCAACAACAAGAAAACAACAACAAGCAACACCAAGCACCACAAACCAACACCAACTAGCAACACCAACAACAAAGCACAACAACACACACCAACAAACTGCACACAACAACGCACAACCGAAACCAAACAGCAACAGACAACAGCACACATCGGACAACAAACACCAACCACTAAACAACATCAGCAACAACAAACACACAACAGAAAACAACCAACAACAAACAGCACAACACAACAAACAAACACCACAACACCAACACAACAATACACAACAACACCAACACACACATAACAAAACGACAAACAACCAGAACAACATCAAACAACAGCAACCATCAACAAACAACACCAAACAACAACCATAAACAACAAACACAGCCAACAACACACATAAACGAACGGCACCAAACAACAAGAAACAGCACACAGCAACAAACAACAGACAACAAACAACAACAAACAACCACCAACAACAACAAACAACAACTAACAACTCCAAACAACAACAAACAATAACACACAACGACATGACACGACAATAACATAGAACAACCATCAACACACAACAAGCACCAACAAACAACAACAACATCAACAACAACAACAACAATCATTTAAGACTGGGGACACTCCGTTCTCACCAGTGCCAGGGTTTTCATAGGAGGCGGGCAATACCCCCACTTTGTGGGGGGGCCGGTTCAAGCTCTACCAAATTTCCAAACGACTCTTCGCCACCACCCACACCCAGCTTCCCGCCCTATGACGTTCGGACACTTCACTTCGTGGCATGCGGACGACCGTGGCTACTATTCAGGGCCCCGCGGCCGACGACGACGGCGTGCGCGCGCGAAGAAAAAACGAATGTGTCCAATATGGTATTATTTGACAGGGATGATGGCCCTGGCATGCGCGCAACCGTTGTTGCAGAAGTTCGAAGCACGTGAAAAAGTTGCTCGCAAGAGCCCGTTTGACAGAAATGTTGAAAAAATATTGGGTTTCCTCAGAAATCCGCAAGAGCGCGCAAGATGAATTTTTGAAACATTTTTTTTTGAAAAACCATTGGGTTTTTCATGTTTTTATGTTAAAATCGCTACGAAAACTAAGGTTTTGGAAGGGTTTCATCTTGCGCGCGCGAGTGTGCACTTCGTGTCATTTTGTCCAAAGGATTGCTTAAAGTTTGGTTATGTTAGAACAAGAAATTTCATTTTATAGTGTTTTTTGCAAGGGGAAAAAACGGGGGACAACAAAACAACCGATCCGGACACCCACGTTTTGCCTGAGACTTCCTCACGAAAATGATGAAAATGTGGCTGCGGCCTAGGCGCGGCGAGGGGGCCGCGCACCAGGGGTCCCAACAATAACTATTCTTTAGAATAAATAATGTTTAACAGCAGCACATAACAACCAACAACAACACACAACGACAAACACCATCAAACAACAACAATCAGCAACAAAACAACAACAAACAACAATATACATTAACGACAAACAACAAACAACACAAAACAGCAATAAACAACACAAGCAACAACAAACAACAAACAGCAAGTAGTGTTTTTTTGGCGAATTTCATTTACATTATGTATTCCGCAGCCTTTGGCCCCGGGCGCTAACAGGCCCCGAGGTCCGCACCTTTGACTATCTCAGGGGTGCACCTGCCAGGTAGTTCTGGCAGGCAGGGCACAGACAGCAAAAGGCCTGGACATCGCATGGCAAAAAACGATGGTTTCTCCATCGACGCGACGAAAAAGTTGCTCGCGAGCGCTGCTGAACATCCCAGTGCCGTTGCTCCGCAGCGCACAAGGGGTGAACGCCTGGCCAGCGAAGAATACTACCCAATGGGGAGGAGAGCCGAAGATGGAAGAGGCCAGACAAGATCGTGCAGCTCGCACCTGCATAAGCCATCCTTCACTTCGCTGTACACGCCAGAAGAAATGTCCCACACCGACGCGAGAAGAACAAAACTCCCGCGTATGCGTGCACCTATCAGGCAGTGCCGGCAACACTCGCAGCGTCGCCCCCCACGGGCGGGATCGAATGATTACAAAAAACACAACTGAGGTGAAGGAGAGAGGAATGAGGAGAAGAGGAGGTACAAGAGGCCCTACCGTCAGGGCCTGGCCAGTGAGCCTAGAGGACCCATGAAGACGCCGAACTCACGTCTTCTCTACGGCCACCGTCGCACTGCACCTCCACACAAGTGCCGCGAAACTGGCGCCCAGGAAGAAGGCACACAATACGCCAAAGATGTCTTGGTCCCACAGCATCAGTGCAAGTATTTGGGCATCCAGCCAGCTCTGCCCAGAGCGGAACACAGGAATTGCGCCAAGTAGATGGAAGCCGCTCGAGTGAGATGGTGGGCATCACGGTGCCCCATCACACGAGTTCCAGGAATCATCGCACCAGAAGTAACGTTGTCGCAGAGAAGCGCATGGATGTCAAAAAACATTATACTATCTGACGCGCTTGCTAAACGGGTGTAAGTATCCTTTAAAGGCTTGTGGTCTAGCTCGGACGCTGTCACCTCAACATCACAGGTTCCACACGGCATGCTGCCATGCTGCCCAACGGAGCACTTTAATAAGTACCTCGCACCACACCCTATACGCGGTGGAGATCCCACTAACACCAAGTTCGCACCTTGCGAATGCACAATCTTGTGGAGCTCCCCGATCCTGGTCACCATCCGCTCTAACGATGCATTGATATGATTCTCGCCGTGCCTGGCCGCGTGACGATCAAAATTGCTGAAGATGACGATATCACCAGGGCGCAGCAAACGGCGAAGGGACTCCTTCACAACCTTATCGTAGTTGTCGCATGGAACCTTAGTTGCATGGCCCCGCAAGGAGTGAAACGCACTACACCAAGAGCCGGACACGCAAAGGAAATGGACGGACAGGTAGTCATCGAATCTCTGGCGGAGCCCAACGAGCAACATACGTGCATGAGAATCCCCAAATACAAACATTGCGCTCTTATTGCCATCCCCTCCCCGGTGTGGCTCCAAACACGTTTGGGCTTCCCGTTCGAGCTTCCGGCGCTCTGGAGGCTTCATGAAAGTGCACTCGAAATCACCTTTGGAATCCTGGATATTCCCTTCCCAACCAAGAGCGCCTGGAGTAATATTCTCCAAACATGTGGGTATCATGGAGGGGGGGGGTAATGTCCCTAGCACACGGTGCCCGGTGGAATGTTGGCACGCTCTCTATGCACTCGCACGCCTCTTTGATCGGGCATGCTTGCAACTGAAGGCTCTTCAGTACACTGTTTTTCGCAATGATGGCTTCGCCAGTACGTGAATCGTCGAAGATGATGCTTCTCAGAGCGCCCGCGAAACACACGGCAAGCGTGACCGCAATAAATAAACGTACAAACACGCTGGCAGGATTCAGCCGTCGCCCGCGACATGTATCTGCAGCTGTTTCGCTACATTCATCTGTGTCTGTATCTGTTCCGCATGCGTCCTCATTGGCTTCGTTCTCCTTCGCGATCTCCCCGACCTGGTTTCGGAGCGACCCCATCCTCCCTCCGACTAATCCCACCAGCCCTCTGGGCGTCGGTGGTTTAGAGCGTTTCCTCTTCCACCCCTCCTTCTTCCCCTTCGGGGAGGGGCTTACCCCTCCCCCTACCCCCTCCCCACTGACCTGGACAGGGGTTTCCGCGGCGCGTTGGAACGCCCAAGATGGCCCAAGACGGCTCCAAGAGGGCCTCAGGGAGCTCAAGATGACCTCCAAGATGGCTCAAGATAGCGCAAGATGCCTCAAGATGGTCCCCATGATGTTCCAAGACGCTCCAAGAACTCCCAAAGACGGTTCCAAGTGCCCACAAGAGCATCATTAGGATGCATCCAAGGAGCCAAAATGCTTCAAAACCCTAAGGAATATCAATGTTTTTGGTGTTCTCACTTTTTCGCTTGCGATGCACATCCGACGCGTCAAGATGGTTCCAAGATGGCTCAAGATAGCTCCAAGAGGGGCCCAAGAGAGCCTCAGGATGGCTCCAAGAGCGGCCACGAGCGCCCCAAGAGCGATCCAAGAGGGGTCCAGGAAGCGATTTTTGGAGCTCCTGGGGGGGGGCTGTAATTAGGGAACCCCGCTTCCTCAATGCCCAAATCATTGGTTTTACTAGAGGTTTTGGCCACATTTGGGCCTCCTGGGGGGGGTGGCACTGCTTCAGATTGTCAGTGCAGTTCTTTTAGCTCGGACCGCGCGGCAGTCCAACTGCGGGTGCAGTCCCAGGGCCCTAGGACTAGGGCCAAAACGGCGGCGGGCAGCGTGCGCGCCACAAACATGAAAAGCATGCGCATCATGCGTACAAGGCGGCACGGGCGGCAGAGGGGCAGGGGAGTGCACTCTTCACACTGGGTGAGAACAATGCTGCCCCGATGCCGCTCCCTACAAGCGCGAAGCGCTGCACGCAGTCATCGCCTATACCGGCCCACGGGCCGTTACACCTCAAGCAAAGTGCGGCCTGAGGCTCAAAATATAAAGTATGAAATATGACTGTCTAGACTCACTAGTCCAGACTGTCGTCTCAATGTACGTGCGCACATCACCGTAGCCCTCACTAGGTCCATGCAGCGGCTGCAACAGGACCTCACGGGCTCGCAGGCCCCGGAACGGCGGCCCGACGGTGGGCCTTCCGCTCCTTGGCTCTCTCACGCTGTCCGCGGCGCAGCCGCAGACGGTGTGCCCCCTCATCCTCCTGTTCAGCAGTAGGCACCATGCTGAACAGTCCGCGGCGGAGGAACTGCGATAGCACCTCGTTAGGCTGCGCGGTCTTTGTCAGCACGTCCGCCAGCATGTGGCTATTGGGCAGCCACTTGAACTTGATGGCCTCCTGCTCGATCAAATCCTTGGCCACCAACAAGTCGATGAGGGTCTGCCGAGACACCGGCATCGAGCCGATCTTGGACGCGTGGTCGCAGAGCGACTTCGCGTCCGTCACCAGCGCCCCCGGAACCTTCAGCGCCAGCCTCCAGTCCCCTTGCAAGGGCGGCTCCCCGTGCAAGACTGCCTCAATCAGCAGCCTGAGGTAGAGCTGCCGATCCAAAGCCACGGACATAGCCGCAGACTCTGCGGCCATCGTAGATCCAACAACTCGTGTAATAGTACTACTCTGGAACTCCACTAGACAACATACAGCTAGCTCCTTCAACACTCGGGTATCCGTAATCATACTCATGAACCCCATCTGGCTCTTACAGCCGGGTTCCTTCGCAAACGAAGCGTCCATAAGCGTGAGCACCTGCAAGCGCTCGATGTCCACACGGCGGATCCGGAGAGTCGCAAGACCTCTCTTGTCGTAGTCCTGAAGCCGGTCGATGATGTCATTGAGCACTCGCAGGTGCAGTAACCTCCGACCTTTCGGATCCTTCTGTGCGAGCGCCGACACACTGTACGCGAGCTGTGGCACCACGCGTGCGACAGGCCAGCGCACCTTCTGGAGCAAGCTCCGGAAGTCGTGGTGCTCTTCGGGAGTCATCTCCCGCTCCTCGTCGCCCCCCCTTGCAAGGGGGTGCTTTGTCAGCTTGCCGATGTACTCGTGCATGCTGATCTCGATGTGATCGGGGTGGCGCCACCACTCCTCACCGAGATAGGCGACTGCCTCCTTGTCGTTGCCCTCCTTCCAGTGCTTGATGTTGAAACGCTGTTGATATTCGCCTTCACCTCCTGGTACTGGGGGTCACGGGCCTCCAAACAGCATGCCGTCGTCGACGTGCAAGGTCAACATAGCAATCAACTTATCCGTTTCGCCCGATAAACGAAGACAGCTCGAGCACAGCGCAGCTCCACAAAGCCGACCTCGTCCGTCAGCACCTGGCGGGCTCGGAGATACCACAACCGAGGCGCCTCCGTCAAACCGCACGCCCCTTTCAGCAAACGAAGCAACGCATAAGGTCGCACGGCTGGCCATCCAGCACCGTCGACGGCTGGAAGCCCGTCCTTAGGAGCCCTCACATACAGCTCCCGCTCCAGCTTCAGCCCGGACAGGAACGCAGTCGCTACGTCGAAGCACTCGAATGTCCAATCCATCGCCATTGTGATAGACGCACACACCAGCACGGCCAAAGGGGAAGTAGTAGGCGAATCCGTCCTGAATAGACCAAGCTGCGGGTCGAGGTGGCCAGGGATGATCAAGCGCGACTTCGCCTCCAACTCCGGCCCTCGCCCCCGGTTTGTGCGAACCGAACGCATGGGCGCCGAGATGATCTTATCCTTTGGAATGCTCTTCTCCTCCTCGGTGACCAGCTCGACCGTGTTGTTGGCGATCCATTGCCGCCGCTCGGCGGCATCGGCCTCGTCGAACTTAGCCTTCTCGTGCTGGTCGAAGTGACGTGGGTCTAGCTCCTTCGCGTTCTGCTTCATCACGAGTGCGAACACGTCGTGCTCGTACCGCGCCTCCTGCAGCCATGCGTCATACACAGATGACACGTTGATCCACTCCTCGTAAGTCATCGGCTGCAGTACAAGACCCTCCGGAGTGTCCAAATAGTACACCCCCTGTGCCTGAGCGTCTGGCTTGTCGTGGTAGAAGAGCGTGAGACCAACCCAGCTGTCCTCCATGCGCTCGTTGGCACGGCTCGCGCCGTCGTCCTTGTAGGCACACTGGCCCGTGGCGGAGAGCATCACCGACAGGCGATTGCACTCCCGGTGGCGGTCGTGATCATAGAGTCTCCGCCGTGGCTCTCGATGCACACGTACTCCTCGCACGACCTTCTGAACGAGCGTGGAGACACCATCCAAGGCATTCTGGTCGAACCACTCCTGGGGCCCCGAGTGCACAACAGCGTTCATGGCCACCTCGCGGAGGGCCGGCAAGCCACTCGTAGGGGCAGCCTGCAGACGCGATCTTCTTAATGCAACTCGGCACGTCATCTACCAGGAACTTCCGCTTCCGCTCGAGCTCGAAATCGTCTCTGGGAATCGGCGGCACCGAAGGGCCGCCAGAGCCCGTTGCTCCCGGAGAAGCTTCCGGGTACGTCCCAGAGGACATCCGGCCTGGAGGGGAACGAGACCGGGCCCTCCTCGGAGGCGGAAGCTGCGGCAACTGCTCCTGCTCAGGTGGCTCCTCCTCCTTAGCCTGCGCCTCAATGGCGCCCAGGGCCCTCAGATCCACACGAGGCTGCCTGGACCCCTCGAGCTCACTATGTCGGTCACGCTCCTTCTTCAGGAATGTCTTCTTCACCTTCTGAACCTTCACCTTGGGCGTGACGTCCACGATGTCGTGGTAGGCGCGATCATCTCGCTGCTGCGTCAGCCGCACGTCCGTCTGGATGGACTCCGCAGCCGCGGCCTCCTGGGAGGAGGCGTGCCGGAGCTGCTCACGAGCAACAAGTAGCACGTGACCACGCCATGATACGTAATACCGGCTGTTGGATTCCTTCGCGATCACAGTCGCAGGACCCCGCCATCTTTCAGGATCTTGCCGACGACGTCCCTTGAACGGATTCGGTGCCCAGAAATACACCCGCGATCCTGGGCACAGATCGCCGACGACCGTCGGCGCCTGTCGCAGCAGCGCCCTCCGCACCTTGTCCGTCGCGTCGCGCTCCAGCAACATCATCTTGGCTGCGGTGCGGATTTGAGACGAACGCCAAGCTATGCCCTTAGCGCCGAGAACCGACATGAGAACCTCATCGTCGTCCCTGTTAGTCACCTCCGTAAAATTCAAGATCCGCCCGAAGACAGCCTGCTCCGGGGTCAACCCATTGCGGCTGATCGTCGAATTCTTCGCGTTGACGATGGCAGCCAGGGCCACAGTAGACATCGACTTGCCCTGGACGTGGAACTCGTGCACCACCTTGCCCCAGATAGCGCCGAGCAATCCTCCGTGGCGCTCTGCCAGGCCATGCTGCCATGCTGCATGAGCTCCCGTCGCCTTCGTATTAATACCGAACTGCTCCATCAGCGCGTTGAAGTAGCCCTCGAACTCGCCGCCCTGGTCGATCACGATGTTCTCTGGCACGCCGTAATGCTTGAACCACTCGTTCATGATCTGGCGCGCTACGTGCTTGGCCTTCCTATTCTTGAGAAGGCATGCACAGTGCCATCCCGTACCAGCGTCCACCATGCTGAGGACCACCAGCTGCTCCTTGGCCGCGTCCCGTAGGTACTTCACGTCGATCACAACCGTCACATTGAAGCCGAATGGTCGCACGTCCGCCGTCCCCTGCACTGGGCGGGGCGGCGCCTCCGACTCAGCACAAGTCGGACACTGCCAATGCTTCGCGTATGCCAACGCGTTGGGCGTTGCACCGCCGAGACGCAGCATCTTGATGAACGTTGGTCGGCTGGGGTGTCCAAGACCGCGATGGGCCTTCCGCACGGCACGTCGCGTACTCCGGGGAATCTTCGTCATGATGTCCTGCCGCACCACCTCCGGAAGCTCCATCTCTGACCAGGAGGCTGCAACCTCCTCCTCCTCCGCAGGGTGCTGCATGGACTCCTCCTTCACCGTCTTCTGCAATGCCTCGCGAATCTCGGCTCGAATCTCCTGCGGTGTCTTGCCCCACTCAGGTTTCTCCGAAAC